GGAGTGCGGCTGGGCTGTGGAGCCCAGGAAGTATTGGTGCTGGGCTTGGGGACAGGGAGGACTACCTGCTCCACAGGGAGCCCAGCAGCTTGGGGTGCTGGCACTGCTGGCTGGAATCCACCAGCGAGTTAGTCTGGGGACGTCGCAGAGAGCTGCGCTGTGGATTGCTGGAGGCAGAACTGGCTGTCACCCATCTCTGGATGGGAGAGGACAGGAATTGATCTTTTAAGTTCCTCCTTGTGACTCCCCAACTGCCAACCTGTCCATAGCAATCACTTATTAATTTTTAATTTTAAAAGATAGTTAAAGGGGCTGGGGATTTAGCTCAGCGGCAAAAGCGCCTGCCTGGCAAGCGCAAGGTCGTGAGTTCGGTTCCCGGTACTGGAGAAAAACAAAACAAAACAAAAAAAGATAGTTAAAGATGCAAAAAATAATTGTGAACTAGCATGAACAGTGTGTCTTTCAAAAGGAGGTGAGATGGAAGCAGCCAAGTAAAGACAGCTTTCCTTGATCGCTGATCGTTCCTGTTCCCTTATGTCTGAGCTTTTCTCTGAGTGGCTCATCCCCCAACACATGTGACCCCATGAGAACGTTCCAGGAGAAGTGGTGCAGTCCTGGCCCCATCAGTGATGCTTGGCATGTGGCCCTTTCATGGCCTCTTCAAAGCCCACAAATTTTGGAATTGGGATTTCATCTTCTTCAAGACTCAAGGTGGCAGTTAAGTTGTGGCACTGAGGACTGAACCTAGAGCCTTTGCACTGAGCCACAGCCCTACCCCTTTTTATTTTTTATTTTGAGAGACAGAGTCTCTCAAGCTGGATTTGAACTTGTGATCCTCCTGCCTCAGCCTCCCAAGTAGTGGAAATTAGAGGTGTGCACCACCACACTCAGCTTGAATTTAATATTTTCAGGGCACTTTTAGCAGCAAAATTGAGTAGAAAGTACAAAAATTTCACACATAATCTGCTCCTGTTTATCTTCTCAAATAAGAGACTTTGGTAAGGGGGTTCCTCCTCTCCTTTTCCAGCTGAAGATTAAAACATCAACTTCCCAACTTTTGAATACCTGGGGAGATGTCTAGAACAGAATCTTCGAGGATTTTAGAGGAAGAGCCTGCTTTTAGGAAACTGGATATACGGTTTCCATGACCATGGAGGAGGAGCTGGGAAGAGGCTGGTGGGTTGGCTGGGGCCTCCGTCTTGTGGACCCCTCCCACAGGCACAATGGCACTGCTCCCTGAGGACCTGCAGCATCGAGAAACTTTCCTGTCTGGGCCACAGTCTCCTCACCCACTACAGGGGAATAGGAAGGGAAACGGGAAACTTTGAGTTTCCTACTCTGGACCCTCCATGGCTCTGTGACCGGAGGCCAGCCATGGAACCCTTCTGGACTTGCTTGTTTCCCTCAAGAGTATATGACCTAGATGGTTTCTCTTTTTTGGAGACAGAATCTTGCTATATAGTTCAGGCTGGCATTGAACTCATGTGGATATCCTCTTGCTTCAGCCTTCTGAGTGCTGGGATTACAGGCATATGCTACCTGTATCAGTCAGAGTTTTCCTGGAGAAACAGATATGACACAGGATGTACAAATTATAAGAAATTACAAGATTGGCTTATGACAGTCAGCCAGAGAGTTGTATGGGGAAGTGTGCAGAGGGTGTCCACACACTGAAGATCAAAGGAATCAGTCCAGGGCCTGGAGTTCACTGCAGAGTTCCGTCAAGTCCGTACCAGGAGGCCGATGAGTCTGCGATGGAAGGCTGAAGGATCCAAGGTGAAGCCAAAGAGTCTGCACTAGAAGCTAGGAGACTAAGTCCAAGCTGAAGGTGAAGACGAGCTCCTCCAAAAGGAATGGAAGTACTTCCATTCTTCATGTCCTTCTTCATGTCCTTCTTCATGTCCCTTTTATATTATCTAGGTGATGATCCACCCGAGGGTGGCTCCTCTACACCCTAGGGTGTAGAATTGCTGAGCCAATTGCTGAGCCAAGTTTAGTTATGATTCTAAACTTCTCAAGTTGACATAATCAGTCACCCACTACACTACCACTTCCATTCTAGAATAAACAAACATACAAAACACACAAGCATCATCCTTTTAGGCACCAGAAACATATTTAGTACAGCATCTATTAGCTATTTAGTTTTTTGGTGCAGTAGTTAGTTCAGACCCAAGACCCTCTCCAGAAAGAGCTAAGAAAAAGTCCCAGAGGCTGCCTACTAGTAGAATCTTTAAATTGGGAATTAAAAAAAGAATGAGCTACCTTGCATGGTAGTGGTACACACCTGTAATCCTACCATTTTGGAGACTGAGGCAGGAGAATCTCTGCTAGTTTGAGGCCAGCATGGACTACACAGCAAGACTCTCTCAAAAGACCAAAACAAACAGAAGAGATGAGCCTTGGAGCCATCCCACTGAGCTGTGTTGTTCTACCACTCTAGGCATCACTTCTGAAAACCTCAGTGCACCTGAACAAGTTGTAAACCTAGGAAGACTCAAGTGCTCTCAACAGAGTCCGCGCTCCTAAGACTCCCTCAAAACCAGTAATTAGTGAAGAATGAGGTTTGTGTTGTGGGGTTACTTCGTTAGACAACAAAGAATTGATTTGCTTCATTCTAGGGGCTTAGTCTGTTTTCTCTTCCTATAACTGTATACCTGAGACCAGGTAATTTATAAGGAAAAGAAATGCATTTCTTGCAGTTCTGGAGACTGGGGAGCCAGGAGCTGGGCCCTGGCATCCGCTCTGCACCTGGGAGGGCCTCTTGCTGTACCCGAACCCAGTGGAGGGCGTTGTGTGGTCAGACACAAAGCTGCCCACTTGGCTCTCTCTCCCTCCTCATCCAGCACCACCACGGGTGTCCTTTCCTGGTGACCTCATCTAACCCCAGTCTTCTCAAGGCCCCACCTCCAAACACTGTCAGTGGGCGACTTTGGAGATTAAAGTTTCAACACGTGGACTTTGGAGGACATGTTCAAACCATGGCTCAGGGTGCCTGCTGAGAAATAAAGGTGCATGTGTTATAGGCAGCTCGACTAACCCCAAAGTAAGGTAGATGCATTTCAGATTGCCTGGCAAGCGAGGGACTGAGTTTGGAAATGAACTGGGCTTTGGGAACTCTGGAAATCACGTGTGCTGGAGAAGCTGAGGTGTAGGGGAAGGTGAAGTCTCTTTAGTTAGTGGAAGAAGTACGGGGCAAGATGATGGTCCCCAAACCAGAGGGGCTGCAGCGAGGGAGGTGGGAGAATAAGGGGCTGGCCTTGCTCAGGGGGGGCAGGGGAGTAGGGCACCGGCTGGGACTGGTGGCTGTGTGTGTCCGTCCTGCTCATCCACAGCTGTAGGCGAGGGCTGGGGGCTGGGCCCAGAGGAAGGCTATTTGGGCAAAGGAACTGGCAGCTGCCAGTGATGGGAGAAGAGCAAATTCCAGTGAACACTGCAAATTTTTTTATGCTAAAATGTATTTCATGCAAGAATGAAGAGTAGATTTTGTTTAAAAAAAAAACCCCGCTGGCCGGGAGTGGTGGTGTGCCCCTGTAATCCCAACACTTGGGAGGCTGAGGCAAGAGGATTGCTCAAGCCCAGCCTGAACTACATATTGAGACCCTGTCTCAAAAAACTAACCAAACAAATAAAAACCTCCAAAAACCCAGCCGCAGAGACCAACACACAGATGCCAGTGGACTACAGATCTCATCTCTGGAGCTGTCTGGTACATGGGGCAGCCATCAGGACGGGCTCCTGTCCATCTGACTTGCCAGTTTCCTGCTGGACAGGGTCCCACAGTTCTTCTGTGCGGTCCACAGGCTCCACCAGCCCTTTCGTGCTGCGACCCATATCCCGGGATGGACGAGGTCTCGGCTTCTGAACAGTCAAGGCACTGACCCTTGTACAGCCTCAGTCAAGCTGGCACAAAGTTCTACCAAGCAGAGAGCTCCACAGTGCTGGGGCAGCCTGGGCGCAGGCACCTGTCCACCACTATGTCGGTCCGAAGTCCTCCTCTGGGGAGGGTCTTCAACAGGGGGCACAGGTGGCTGAGGCAAAGGTTCCCACTGGCTTAGAAACGCAGACACCAGATACTCTCTGACGACCATGGATTTTCTGAGTGTAGTCGAGAGTACATGGAGCAGCCAGAAGGAGGAATGCGCAGCGCTGGACCGATAGTTCCCAGGGTACAGTCATTGGCCAAAGTGAAAAAGCCCCTGGAGTCGTGAAAGAAAATTTCAAGTTTAGAAATGACCTTAAAATGGACGCAATGTTGTGCTGCTGGGGGTTGCTGGAGAGGCCACTCCCTGGAGAGCTGAAGTCCTGCTGCAGGTGTCCGCCGAGACTACCAGGCCCTGGCAAGCTCTGGCCCAAATCAGCTCTGCCGTATCCTGCTGGGAAAACTTCTCACTGCTGCCTCTGCTTTCCAAAATGCCTGAAGCACCCACAGAAAGAGAGGTGGGCCTTCTTTTACCTGCAGTCCTCCCAGGCCCCGCAGCACCATGATGCTCTTGAAACTGCTCTTTAAAAATCATCCTGGCCGGGCATGGTGGCACATGCCTGTAATTCCAGCACTCGAGGGGCTGAGGCAGGATGACCACTGTGAGTTCAAGACTGGTCTGCGCTACAAAGTGAGCGCAAGGCCAGCCTGAACTGCATGGCGAGAGCCTGTCTCAAAAAGACCAAAAAAAAAAAAAAAAAATCACCCTGACCTACAACCTGGGAGGCTGAGGCAGGAGGATCAAAAGTTCAAGCTCAATCTGGACAATTTAGCAAGAACCTGTCTCAAAATAAAAAATGGGCTGGAGATGCAGCTCAGTGCAGAAGCCCTGGATTCAATCCCCAGTACTTAAAAAAAAAAAAAAAACAACAACACCATGACCTAGAGAAAGAAAAAATGAGAATACAGATGAGAAAAGTCCCTCAAATGATCATTTTTAAGCACAAGTTCTAATGAGCTATAAAGCTTTGCAGGGAACCTCTGAAACTATTGACAGGAACTATCGTTTTGGTTCCAGGGTTTTAAATTGATGGTTAGGACGAAGAGACACCAAAGACAAGGCCTGACATTTCAAGCTGAAACCAATACTGTGCTCCACAGCAGGGAGCTCTCACAGTTGGTGAGTCTGACGTCAGTGCTGTGCTCCCAGGAGGCCCTGGGGTGCAGGACCCATTTCTGGCTGGCTCTGAGGAGAGCCACATGTGCACCCTCTTTGTCCTTGTAGCAGGGCTGCTCAGGGTTAGACTTCTGAGGAGGCCCTTAGCAGGAAACGGTAAGGAATCGGCAGGAAGTCCACAACAAGGGACGGGAAACCCCTCCCTGGCCTGGAAGGATAGGCGAGGGAGTATAAAATGGAAAGTGGAATGTGCGCTCTAACATGTCTGGGGCTGCAGGGATGGGTGTTGGAATGGAGAGTGGATGCATCTTCAAAAGGGGGAAGTACCCGTTGTGTCCCCAGGGCAAGGACTTGTGACTGTAACGAGGAGCCAGATCCTCCAAAGATCCAAACACGAGGGGGGGGGGATGCTGTCCTTTATGGACAGGGAGTGGTGTTTTGTGTGTTTTCACAGTCAGTAGGTCACTGAGAGGAAAACCTGCCCTCGTTCTTGATTTCTGGCTTGTCCAAGGCCAAAAGACCCAAAAACAAACTATAAAAACTTACCAGGAGAAAAAAGATAAAAGTACACCTGGCACCACATCATAAGAAAGAGTCGATGTGAAGGAGCAGAGAAATGCAAAATAATTTTTCAGTTTCACCAAGTTTTGTTTTGAATTTGGTAACCAACAAATGTTCACCCTATTTTTGAGGAGGAGGGAGAGCCAGCAATCCAGTGAAAACACTGAATCTAAGAAGAAACAAATACAACAATTCATTCTGCTAGATGAGAACTCTGAAAGTTTCACTTCTTCAGCTCGGCTCAATGAGTTAGGCTAGTCCTTGTTGAAAAAGAAAAATTAACACCGTTTTGTCTCCCTTTATCTCATCAGTAGTGCAGTGGACTCTTCGGGTTAGCAATCCTGTGTTTAGGTTGTTACCTGAAGAAAGGAAAAACAAACTGCCCTGACTGCTGATTCTACTGTTTTGGTGGGGGAAGAGAAACTCTAGCAAACGGCAAACGACAACACTTTTGAGAAAGCAGGTCTGGGGAGAGTCCAGTGCAGTTTCATAATAGGTATGAATAGTTATTTTTGCTGCTTTCCTTTTCTTTTTTCTCTGGGTTTTGATGTGGATCTCTTTCTATTTGTTCAGGAAATTGTGACGTGTGTTCTGGGCAGGGTTGAGGTTTTGGAACCTTTTCTAAAAGAGACAGAGAGCACCCTGCAGCATTTCCTAATCGTGAGGCTGGCGTGCTGGAGCGATCTGGTCATCATGCAGGCGGTGCCCACGTGCGGTAGGCTGGTCCTGGCCCTCGCCCTCGTCCTGGTTTTGGGATCTTCAGTGCAAGGTAAGACCCAGGAGTCTTGTTCCCTGTCATCTTCTTTGCGAGCCCAGAACCCACACAGATAGTTATCTTCATTTTAAAGCACAGAATGTGTTCTGTTATGGGAAAGGAGGTGAAGAGGAGGGAGTTGGGGTAGTTGGATTCCCAAGTGTGAGTTCAGCTCAACTGGGTGCCAAGAAAAATTAAACTCTGAAGCAGGTGTCGCTGTAGAAACTTTTACATTGATTGGAAAGTGCTGCTTTATTTTTGGACAAAAATGTGTGGTTTCTAAATTTTAAACGCGCAAGGAGGAATGAAAATGATTCTTGTGTGGTTGCCCGAAGACAGACAGTGCCTGCGAGTGTTGGGTGCCTTCTTACTTCTGAGCGTCCACATCAATCCCGAAGTTTCAAAAATTTCAATTTTTTCCAATTTTTATTTTTTACCCGTCCATGTTTGCGGTGCATGACTACGTTCCTCATGGGAGCTGGTGCCTGTACATGACACATCCTCACTGACCAATCCCAAGTTTGAACTCACTGCGAAAGCGCATTATCGTAACACTGGAGATACTATTTTTTAAATTTTTAAAAATTTGTGTGTATTTTTCTTTTTAAAAATCAGATCCTACTGAAGATTCAATTATGTTTGCACATAGTTAATACAGACCTTCTCAGATTGTAAAGAAAGCCCAAAGAATGTTAGCATTTGTGCTGTCACCCAAAGAAACACCACATTTGGAAATTTCTTTTTTTGTTTGTTTTTAGATATATGGTCTTGCTATATAGTCCAGGCTGGCCTTGAATTTGTGGCGGTCTTCCTGCTTCAGCCTCCCAAGTGTTGGGATTCCAGGCATGTGCCACCATGCCTGGCCTAGAAATGTCTTTTTTAAGTTTTTGTATCATTCAGGGCTGTTTAGTCATATTGAAACAATTTAAAAATTGTTATTCACTAAGAAAAGAAAATATCAGTTTGTAAGAAAAGTACAATTTTTTTCTCCTTTGGTAAATAAGGAATCCTGTCTTAATAAGACAGAAGATCATAGCTGATAAATAGATGGCAGAATTTACAGGAGAAAAACATTAAGTTTCCACAAATGGTAAAGGAAACGTTGAGTCACAGTGACACATGTCTCGGATTTGTTTCTTCAAATTGACGTCTAGCTGTCACATTCTTACTTCCGGTGGCAATGAAATCTCACAGATGAACCCAGAGAAATTTCTTATATATTGAAAATCAGAAAAAAAATCATTTTCTTTCAGTGATGCTAACACTGGAAGAAAAAGCAGCAGGTTGCAGAAACATTTTCATTCACCTGTTTATCATCTGAGTATAACAAGAAACAGAGCAAAGCTTTTCTTGGACTACTGGGAGACAATCTTCAGCCTGCCTTGAGGAAGATTTCCTAGTGATTGTATGCTCACAGGGCAGAGCGCAGCGAGGGTCAGCTCTGAGTGACCAGGTGGTGCTGGCCTTTGGGGTTTCAACACTTCCCCGAAATGTTTCGTTCTGCACTGACTCTGTAGGTTAAGACTAGAATGAAAACAATCCCTTTCCTCATGGGTACAGCCACTAGAAGGAAGAGAGAAGCCATCACAAAACTGTAGAAAATCCTAGCATTTATGTCATCACTCAGTAGTTTGAGCTCTTTGTCCGAAAAAGGAACTAGAAAGTAAACAGCAAATAATCTAAAACTGAGGGCATCCCCACGGGCACTACTATATTCAAGCCCCTGTTCTCACTTTTGAATGTGAAGGGAAAGAGACCCTCATGTTAGTGACAGCAGCAAGAGGAGCTGCCGCAGGGTCTCAGCACCTCTCCTTCATACCCCTGCGATGCTGTGGTATTCTCCCCCTACCTTTTGTTTTTGGTACCAGCAATGGAACTCAGGACCTTATGCTTGCCAGGCAGGTGCTTGTGCCCCTGAGTTATATCCGTGGTCCCTCTCCTCCTACCTTTTAAAAAATACTTTTAAAAAGAGAAAATGTTTACTTATCTCATTGGTTTGACTGATCGTATTAGTTAGGCTTGCTTTTACTGAGCTATTCAGTCTTAGGTTACAGCACTATTTCCCTGGGTGGCCAAAACAAAGTACCGCCCACTGGGTGGCTTAAACAGTTCATTTCCTCTGGAGATTGGATCACAGATCAAGGGCTGGAAGATTGGTTTCATCCGAGAGCTTTTTCTTAGCTTATAGATGATGCCTTCTTCCTTCGTCTCCATCTTCAGCAACTCCTCCAAATACCATCACATGATGTGGTCCTGCAGGTTAGGACCTCAGTGTTCGAAGTTTGCAGAGGACATAATTCAGCCTATGACATACTTGCTTTTACAGACCCAAGTAAAGACACAATGTAAAGCTGCGTCTACAGAGACCCAAGAAATGGGAGTTTGGGGATGGGTGGCAGATGATGAAGGACACAGATGGCAAATCCACCTAATGTGAGCTTCAGAAGATTACCCATGAGGCCTACAAGTCCTACACTGTACTGCCTCTCTTTCTCAAAGTAGAAAATCCATGAGCAGAAGTGGCCCAGAGGCCATACCACTGTTTCCTAGATCCCAGTAATGGAACTGATTCCATCCATGTGTGTGGCTGTTTGTAAAGTGACTTCACATCCATTCTCTGTGGAAATGATTGTCCCATTCCCTATGAGGAGGGATTAGTACCAACTGACAGAGAAAACTGGATCATCTCAATTTGATCTGTTCTGTTTTTGTTTCTGTTTTTTGAGACAGGATCTCACTATGTAGTTCAGGCTGGCCTTGAACTCACTATGTAGCCCAGGATAGCCTCAGAGTCACTGAGTGATCTTCCTGCCTCTGCCACCATACCTAGCTATCTCATTTGTTTTGTCAGTCTCTTACAAAAATGTGTTTTGTCTAAGGCCCATTATAACTAACAAATGGCAGAAGAAGTAGTCATCCTGTTTCAAGGTCAGAATTAAATTTCTACTGCAATGTGTAGATTAGCAGGTTTGGGTGGATTTTTTTTTTTTTTTTTTTTTTTGTCTTTTTGAGACAGTGTCTCGCTATGTAGTTGAGGAGGTCCTTAAACTCATTTTGTAGCCCAGGGTGGACTCCAATTTTCAGTGATCCTGCTGCCTCAGGCTTCTAAGGGCCTGGGGTTTTTTTGTTTTTACTGAAACGATAAACCTTCCTTTGACTACAACCCTTGCTATTACATTTACTGCTCAGTACTGAGTTAAGGGAGAAATTGAAAGTAAACGTGGATCTTTTTATAGCTTGTCTCACCACACAAGAGTGGGGGAAGCGTATGCATTTTGTGGACTGGATAGGCCGGTAGGAAGTAACTCCAACTTAGATAATAACAACTGTTTAAATTCTACCATTTTGAATGAATAAAAACTTTTTTCCCCTTGTGGCAATTTCTGCTTAAGTTTCTCTAACACATCTGTAGTAAGTTTCCGTGAAGAATAGGAAACTGGTAAATTGTGATTATGTTAGGGGGAAAATGGCAAGTTTGCTAGGGAAAATATGAAGAGATACAAAGGACTTGGAGAAAGTCATTTGCTCAGTAAGAGTTACTCAGAGAAAGGGTGTTGTTCAGGCAGAGCTAGCGAGCTGGCCACGGGGGAAAGCAGGGGGCGGTGAGGGAAAGCGTTCTAACTAAAAATCAGTCTCTGGAGGCCACTGCATAATGAACCAGCAGATCCTCTGCAAGTGGGCCCTCTTAGGAAGATAGGGGTTATGTCTCCCTTTCATTTTCAAAACTATGATAGTCATAAGACATTTATCTCAAAGGAGATAAAGTCTAGAATTCTCATAACTTCAGGGGGACAGAACCTTGAATTTTCACATCCTGCCGATACCATGAATAACTATGCCTGGAATTTTGTTTTTGTAACTATGTTGTTTATTTTAAAGTACCCTTAACATCACCGGCCCTGAATCCAATGGGCTTTTGGAGTGGAAGGACTTCTACCTTTGACTTCTGCATAAATTTTTAGTTTAATTAAGGTAGTTTACATAGTATTAATTTGTCCTTTAAAGTAAACAATGAAATGGTTTTTAGTATATTCACAGAACTGTGTCACTATCACCATCGCGGCTTTTTTCATCACTCCTCAAAAACAAATACCTCTATAAATTTTAAAAGCTGAGATCCTGAACTCTGGAGGTTATTTTGAATTTCAGACTTTTTTCCCTAATCTGCCAAAGTTGTGATTGTTACACAAGTGCAAAGATGCGCTCTTTCATGGGGGTGCTCCCTCATAAAGCATGAACGCTGGTCTGGGGAAATAGCTCTGCAGTAGACTGCTTGCCTAGCACTGGGAAAAAGCGGTCAGGCAAGCATTAGTCTAATTTTGTTGTTTAACTTCCTGTCCAAGGCCACATTTTCTCACCCTGATGCTCAATGCCTCGGCCGCCTATAGGGGCTCAGCCCTCGTCAGACCCATTCTGTCCTGTAGAGTAGCAGAGGCCTTGAATTACAGCAAGGCCAAAATGACACATGCTCAGAATGCAAAGTTTACATTATTTGAGAGACTTTGCTTGAAAAAAAGAACAAAAATTTCCACTAATTGGCCTGCAGTTAGAGCTCAAGGGTACAGCACTTGCCTAGCACACTCGAAGCCCTGGGTTCAATTCCTAGCGCCAAAAAAAAAAAAAAAGAGGAAGAAACCTTGTACATTGAATATATATTAAATGACAATATTTTTAGTAGTTTGATTCAAGTGAAGTGTAATAAAATTAATTGTGGGCTGGGGATATAGCTCAGAGGCATAGCACCTGCCTGGCAAGTGTGAGGTCCTGAGTTCAATTCCTGATACAAAAATATTTTACTGTGCTTTATTTTTAATGTTTACATTGACTTATTTATTTATTTATTTTTATGTGGTTCTTTTTGTGAGACAGGATCTTGCTGTGTAGTTCAGGTTAGCCTTGAATTCACTATGTAGCCCAGGCTGGCCTCGAACTCTGAGTCTTCCTCCTGTCTCAGCCTCCTGAGTGCTAGGGTTACTTACAGGTGTGCCCCATCACAGAGGGCTTTATTTCTACCTTTTAATATATAGCTGCTAAAACATTTCAAACTCACTGTGTAGTTAGTTGGCTTTGTTCTATTGGACAGTGCTGGTGTGGAGAGCATAGGTGTGAAGACATTGCCCTCTGCTGGAAAATATGTTGGATTTTTAATACCACTTTCTAGAGCTTCCTCAGCAGTAATTAGGTGCCAAACAAATGCTGTCTCAAGAAACAATCGGAAAATAAGGGTTTAGATGTATTAAGAGTTTAAATGTTTAATACATCTCCTGTGTGCAAAAGCTCGTGCTGGCTGCTTCCCGCACACTTATTTATTTAAACAGGAGTTCTTTGCTAAAGTCTTACCTACATTTGAAAGATGATAAATTAAGAATCAGAGAGACACTAAGTGGTAGAGTGGGAACTTAAATTATGTAAATTTAAATTCTGGTCTCTCTACAAACTGTCTACTGTCAGAGGTAGCTTCTCACCTTCCTCCTTCCCCACCTGGTCAGAGGCATGAGCGATGGAGACCTCTGACCGTGGTACTTGGCACCATTCCAAGAACCTAACATCTGTATTTCATCATCTCATCTATTATGGTGCTCATTTTGCAGATGAGGAAATTCAGGCAGAGAGAAGTGAAGTAAGCTGACCAAGGTCACATGGTCAGTAAGGGGCAGACCCTGGGTGGCCATCTTAGCCGCCTTGTCCCCAGAGCTGACCCATTTTGGACAACTGGTTCCTGGACCAGACTTTATAAACTACACTCAGCAACCGCAGGAAAGACTGATAGAGCAGTGGTCCCCAAGAGAGGGAATGGGGGAAGGAGGGAAGGGGGAAGGAGGGAAGGAAGGAAGGGTGAAAGGTCAGATGGCTAAAAGTAGAATATTTGCTCTCTTTCTACATTAGAGTCTTTAAAATATTTATATTTTAGAGGAATATTATATATTACAGTGACTTAGGGTTTTTTTGTGTTTTGTTTTATCTTTTTGAGACAGGGTCTTGCTACGCAGTTCAGGCTGACCTTGAACTCACTTTGTAGCCCAGGCTGGTCTCGAACTCACAATGATCCTCCTGCCTCGGCCTCCTGAGTGCTGGGATTATAGTCATGCACCACCATGCCCAGCTACAGTGATTTAGAAAAAGAAAAAATCACCAAAGATTATTCTACTGCTCATTTTTGTGCATTTTGTCACATTGTCCCCAATATCTTATTTATGTTACTGAAACTAATATGCATGCAAAGTGGCATTCTGATTTTTCTTTTCAGTCATTTGTATTTAAAAAATGTGGGGCTGCAGGGGATATAGCTCAGTGGCACAAGTGCCTGCCTGGCAAGGGCAAGGTCCTGAGTTCAAATCCTGGTACCAAAAAAAAAAAAAGTAGGGCTGCTGCTGCTGGGCATTGAACCTAAGGCCTTACACAGGCTAAGCGTGTGAAGTCCCACTGAACCACACCCCCAGCTATCCTGTTAGTAACTATGGTTTCCTTGTGCTGCTACACAGCCTCTTCCATCTGCAGCAACTAATTTTTTTAACCATTTAGTTAACATCCTCTCATGAGTGAATACCTTGTGATTTATCTGAGAGATTCCTATTGTTCTGGGCTGGGCTTCAGAATCACCTCTCCTGCTTTGCAGGAGTTCGGGGTGTGCTCCTTCTTGCTGGTGACGGTTGGCAGCACTTGTTTGGGTGAGGTGTGTGCTGGGTGGGAGGCGGGGAACCGTTTGAAGGGCGGTGCAGTGTTTCTTCCCACCAGGGCCCTGTCTGTGCTGAACTGAGTCATGGAGAATGTATTTCATGAAATAGTAAAGGCTTTCCTGTGTAACCCCAGAATGCTAGATTTGGAGGTCTTTTTGTAGAAATTAAAAGAATTGGCAAGAGACTTGACCATTCCAATCTTGCTGTCCCTCTGTGAGTAGAGGAATCTTGTAGGGAAGTCTGGGTACAGAAAAAGAGAACGAGTGTTGATCTACTTTTCATCCCTAAGAACACCATACAGCCCTAAAACACAATTCCTAGGCCTCTGCAATGCCTTGAGTGCCTCTCAGAGTCTTCTTGAACCCTTCCTTCCCTCCTTCCTTCCTTTTTTTTTCTTTTTTTTTCAGCCAAAGTCTCACTATGTAGTTCAGGCTGGCCTTGAACTCACTATGTAGCCCAGGCTGGCCTTGAACTGATTGTGACCCTCTTGCCTCATCCTCCCAAGTGCTGGGGTTACAGGGGTGTGTCACCACACCTGGCCCATCTCTGCAAAAAGAGGCAGACTGGGTCCTCCGTTTAGCACTTTTTTGACCTCAATTTTCTTTAAAATGGAGCCAATAGTACAATAAGAATAACAGTTAACAACATTAAGTGTTTACCATGTGATTGGGCACTAAGTGTAGCGTCAGGAATGCTTTACATGTATTTTCCCATTTAGTTTTTATGACAAATTTCTGATACTATTGGACCTTCATTTTACAGCAGGTATTCAGGGATGTAAAAGTTTCATAACTTGCTAGTAGAAGAACCAAGCAGGACTTTACCTCAGGCAGCTGACTCAAAGCCTATTCTAACCCCTTAAACTTTCTGCTCCTTCATAGGAGTGCTGTGAGATGGACAAGTGGTGTAGGTAAAAGAAGGCTGGGGCAGCAATGCTGCATAAAATGTGCATTTATATGAGAGCTTCTAGGGCCAGATGGTTGGAAGCCTGCTAAGCGATATTCATTGCCCGTGTGGGTTTCTTGTTTGGTCAGGTTATCCTATGCGGAAAGCCAGGTACCAGTGGGTCCGCTGCAGTCCTGACAGTAATTCTGCAAACTGCATTGAAGAAAAGGGGCCAGTGTTCGACCTCCCTACAGATGAATTCAACAAGATCCTCCCTCCAAAGATTAACCCTTTTTTGTAAGTGGACTTTACTCTGATTTTCAAGTAACTGTAATTTGTTTTCTTTTGGAGACAGGATGTCTCAATGTAGTTCAGGCTAGCTGTGAATTCACTATGTAGTCTATGCTGGCCTCAAGCTTGCAGCAATCCTGCCTCAGCCTCCCAGTGCTGGGATTACAGGTGTGCGCCACCGCGCTCGGTGGCGTGACTAACTTCACGGCCTCTGTTGAAGTCTTGGGATGGAAGTGGGACCATCCAAAGGCTCTCCTGCAAGCTCCTGCTTTAGCAGTTTGGTTTTTACTATGTAGTACTTGTCCCATGGGTGCTGGCAGATGAGGTGCTTGCATATACATGATTCATCTTGGTTTTGCAAGTTTTTACTATGGGTGGCAAAGACAGGCATTAAGTACTTTTCACTAACAGGTACTGAAAATCATTCAAGATTGTTTTATTTATGTAAAGTATATTATATATATTAAAATTCATTTCATTGTATAAACAGTATTATGTATTAAAATCCAGTAAGAGTCCATCAAGTGAATGAAAGGCCAGAATCGGCAAATCCCTAAAGCGGAAAGTAGATTAGCGGTTGCCTGGGGTGGGAAGAGGGAGGAATGGGTGACCGCTCCACCTTTGGGGGAATGATTGGTCAGATGTTCTGGAATTAGTGGTGATTTAAAATCACATAGGAAGTGTACACATTACTGAAAACTCCAATGGTTTATGGCTTATTTTCATGGAGAAAATGACCCATATGTGAGGACACCTTTTGCCTCTTGCCATTTTGTGGCCCTGATCTGTGGAGGAAAGTGGCGTCCTGGCCCTGCTCTTTGGATTCTAACCAGCCCATTCAAGTCCCGCTCAGCATCCTCACCCTGCAGCACCTGCAGCCTCCTGAATGCAGATGTGACGGGCAGGGGAAGGATGTTGGAAATGGAATGTTAATGTGCTGAGAAATCTGATGCTTAACTTGCCACCAAGAATGTCTCAAGTGTGAGCTTTGTTGAAGCACTGAAAATTATTAGTTTCATGGAAATTTCTAGTTATGAAAAATGTCCTCTGTCTAGGCTGACTTAGTTGTTTTTGTTTTCTTTAGGGAAAAAATGAAAAAAAGGACTCTTCTTTTAAAAAACTAAATTCCAAATATTGGATTTACTTATTATTATTACTTTTTTAGTAATAATATCTGCATCTGCAATGGGTACCCTGGACTCTGTAAGGGGAGTGTGTTTGGTGTAATAAGTATATGTAAGCACACACAGGGCTTGAATTTTTTTTTGTTTTAAAGTATTGCATAGTTTGGAAGCTTTTAACTCTTTTAATTTGAGCAATCAGGTTGCTACCTTTATTTCCTTATTCTAAAAATATCATAATTACATTCTTTATGAATCATACTTTATACTTTTTTTTCCTACTTCAGGATGCCAAAACACCAGAACTTGAATGATGTCTTCCCTCTTTCCGAGGACTATCCTGGCTCTGGCTCTGGCTCCGGCTCCGGATCAGGATCAGGATCTGGATCTGGGAGCGGCTCTGGAAAGGACTACTTCTCTGAAACAGAATGGGACTACCAGCCAATAGATGAAAAGGATGTATTCTATTACAACTTTAGGCCTGTGAAGAAGAATCTGCCCCTAGACAACGAGGCCTTGGGTCAAGATGATACAGAAGAGGATTTTATTATATAAAAGTGAGGGTTTCCCCACCTTGACACCAAGCAATGTATTCAGTGTATTTTGTATACCATGGTTAAATGATTAGTTTTGGATAAAAGAGTTGTATAGAAAATTTAAAACATCTGAAAAAGAACTTTAATTTTTTAATTACTTCTTTCTTCTTCATGAATTCTTAAAAGATTATATTTTAATGCTATTATCTATCCTATTCAAGGAAATACCTGCATTTTTTTTTTCTTTCTTGAGTCAGTCTCTTGCTATGTAGCCCAACCTGGCCTTGAACTCACGGTGATCCTCCTGCCTCAGCCTTCCAAGTGCTGGGATTACAGGCATGTATCACCACTCCCTGCATATTTTGGTATCATATTTGACCAATATCATTGAGAATAACTAGACTCCCATGTTTATAAAACTGCTTTAGAGAGAAAATTGTGCTTTTTTAAAAAATTCAGTTTGAGAAGCAAGTTGATTGACAATATTTCATACCTATGTCTTTAGGAACCTGACTCTGATTGTGAATTATACCTTGTACTTATGATAAAAAGTCCAAATACAGTGAATTTACATATTGGATATTTGGTGTGATTTACAGTGTGAAGGGGTTTTACTGTACTATCACCATTGGATGTGTGAGAGCTAGTCAACATTGTTTCAATTAGAAACTTAAGACCCTAATTAAAGGATAATTGTGGTCTTAAAACCTTGTACTTTACTGCTTTATCTTGCTTTCCTGGATGTCTATTTTCAAATGTTGCTCTATTAAAGCAGAAGTATAACCAAAGAAATATTAAGCTGTCTGGAAATTTTTGTAGTAAACTCAAGAAATAATTATTTCTCATCAGAAGTTTCTCTAGAAGTCTTAAAAAAATCTTTATTTTATTTTACTTTTTTTTTTTTTGAGGCAGGGTTTCACTATGGAGTACAGGCTGGCCTTGAACTCACTTATGTAGCCCAAGCTGGCCTCGAACTCATGGTGATCCTCCTACCTCAGCCTCCTGAGTGCTGGGATTAAGGTGTGTACCACCACCCCTGGCAAAACATCTTTAAATCATGGCTTCCCTCATAGTGGGGGCAGATGGTTTCTAGGTATTCAATTAAGTGATGTCTTAAACTAGGTCTGGCTCAAAGTGGTCATTTTTCCAGTCCCTAAACATATAATTAAATGGCTTGGTGGTTAACACAACACCCACACTGATTTCTTGACCTGTGTAATAGGAGCTATTGCAATGTCCCTCTCCCTGTCTGCCAAGAAATGAAAAACAATATTTCACCCTAGGAGAATTTTAAAGGTTAGTAGTACCTTTAAAAACCTAAAGAACAATAGGGCTGGGTGTGGTGGCACATGCCTGTAATCCCCGCACTTTTGAGGTTGAGGCAGGAGGACTGCCCTGAGTTTGAGGAGCCTGGGCTACATAGTGAGACCCTGTCTCATAAAACCAAAACCAAAAAAACAGAACTCAAAAAAAAAAAAACAAAACAAAAAAAACCCAAAGCAAAAAAACGAAACCTAAAGAACACAATGAAGCCAAGGCAGAAGTAGCACTATGAGTTCAAGGCTAGCCTGAACTGTCTCAAAAAGAAAAAAAAAAAAAAAAAAAAAAAATGGGACACAACAATGCTGGTGCCCAATGCATTTTCACTTTATTTACCAGCCTGAGCCTTGAAAAAACCAGATAGATCCTGGAGGGTAACAGTGGATGATCACAAGATCAGCCAGGCAGTGGTTCCATCCACAGCAGCTGCACGAACTCTCATGCTTTAGCTAGAGCAGTTACACAGCTTTGGGTAGATTGCAGGCAGGCACTGATCTGGCAAATGCTTTCTTTTCTATACCTATCCCTGCCCCCTAAAGAGGTTTGTCTTAGTTACTTTCCTCATTGCAGAGGCACAATACATGACACCCACAACTCTAAGGAAGAGAGGTTTGTTTTGGCTCACAGTTTGTAGAAGTTTCAGTTCATAGTTGTCATGCTCTCAGGCAGAGAAGCATGGTAGAGAGGCATGGAGCAGAGAAAGAGCTCATGGTGTGGGACTGGGAAACAGAGAGATCAAGGGAGGAGGAGGGAGATAGACCCTTCCAGGCCACACCCCAGTGACCCACCTCCTCCCACCAGGCTTCCCCTCCCAACATCACAGCTATAAACTCACCAGTGGACTAATCCACTCACGAGTATCAGACCCCCCTGATCCAGTCACCTTCCCAAACCCCCATGTATGAGTGCAGAAGGCTTTGGGGGATCATCTAGCTATCAACCATAACAAGGACCATAAACAGTTGCCAGTGTCTTAGAAAAAACAGTCTACATTTACAGTCTCCCCCAGAGCTGTGCCATCTGGACATCTCACTAAAATGTCACAGTGGTCCACTGTATGGATAGATCATGAGCCTCTCTCTGTCTTTTTTTTAAGAGCAGAATATATTTATTGAGGGAAAGAAAGCTTCTGTCCACAAGAGGGACAGAAGAGGGGTTTGAGCCTCTCTCTAGAGACCCAAGTCCTTGGCACCAATGTGCTGTCTCCCCCTTAGCCCGCATCTGTGGCTGCATGGAGGGTTCCTGTCCTGGTTACTTTTCTCTCGTTGCTGGGACAAAATAACCAATGCCCAAAATTTAGGAAGGAAAGGTTTATTTAGCTTACAGTTTGTGGAGGTTTCAGTCTATGCTCGGCTGGCTGCAAGGCAGGGTGGCACATGGCAGAGGGCAACCATTCAAAGCGGCACAACACAGCAAAATCAACAAGCACAAAAGGGAGAAATGGCGGCAAGCAGCCTCTTCCTCTCCCTTACATATGCAAACTATCCAACCCAGGGCAGGTGTAGCTCTCACACCCATAATCAATCAAACTCTAAAAGCCTGCCCCAAGACCACATGAGGCTTTGGGGGGACACCCAGACACAAACCATAACAGTTCCTCATGACCGCTGATACGGTAGGAATGAATTCAAGCTTGGTTCACACACAGATCGTTCTGGTACAGAGTAGGAGCAAGCCAAAAACGGATGATAGCTGTGACACTGCCTATCAGGACTGGCCTTGAAAAACAGCTGAGAAAGGGAATCCTCCCAACAGGCAGGCTTCAGGTGATGTTCCTGGTCGTCTCCTCTGTGTGGAAAGAAGGGCAGCCTGAGGCTGGGATATATACAGTTGTATGGACAGCAATCAGTGTATCTGTGAGTAGACCAGGAGCCTAAAACAGATCTGAGAAGATTATGGGCTAAAAATCTGGAGTAAAGGCATGTGTCTGCACCAATGAGAGAAGTCACAAAGTGGGAAGCTGTCAGTATCAAACGTTTATGCCCATTAGAAAGCACCATCTCATCACAGAAAAGGAGTAAACAACAAAAGGACTTGGGCAGATTCCAGCACTTGCTCTTGAGTACCCCTCCCCATGCTAGCAAGCACTATGAGCTCATGAAATGGCAGGAGTGGAGGCTATGCATGGACTCCCACTGCCCGTGTAGTTATTGACATTGCCAACTGTCCAGTGTGCTAGCAACCGATTTTGTCGCTGAGCTACTGACAGGATATTATCTTTTAAGTCACTTTCCTGTCATTGGGATGAAATACTTGACATCCACAACTTAAGGAAAAGAGCTTTGGGCAGGTTTATTTGACTGTCTTGGTTTCAGAAGGTTCAGTCCATGGTTGGTTGGTTCCAAGGCAGAAATGGTATAGCGCCTGGCAGAAGAAAGCTGCTACAGGAAGCAAGAGCTAGAGAAAGAGCCAGAGAGAGTTATACCCTCCAAAGGCACACCCTGGTGACCAGCCTCCTCCAGCCACGCTCCACCTCCTTGACCAGGATATTCAGATATGAACTCACTAGTGTCTCCATGATCCAATCACCTTCAAGAAGCCCTGCCTCTGAACACACAGACATTTGGGGGACATTTTAGAATGAAACTATAACAGAGCCCTTAGCGGCCAGTTGTCCATAATAAGTTCCTTCAATCCTGCAGATTCAGGGGATTTGTTCTAAGGGACATGTTAGGTTCACCATTCCTGTTCATGAGGGCTCCAGCAGCATTAATATATAAAGTGTACAGGTCTGATTCATCCGACAGGATTTAGAACCCTGCATCATGGCAGTACAGCAAGGATTTGCAGTGTAGCAGTGGGCATACTACCAGGGGATCTGCTAATTCTAGCCCATACTACACAAGCTACATGCCGCTAACATGACAGAATGATGGAAGACATGGCTGAGACATAAGCTCGAATATGATAAGCTGAGCTTAAGACACCATCCTCCAGGATGAACAATTTTTTTTGGTATGTGTGGTGCTGGGGATTGAGCCCAGGATCGTGTGCATGCAAGGCAAGAGCTCTACCACAGAGCCACATCCCCAACCCTGGGATGAGTATCTTTTGTAGGGCCTGTGTCACTAATAGGTAGAATACATGGATCCAGCAACCACAGGGGAGATGGAGGAAGAGGAGTCACCTTACGTCAAAACCTCTTTGGGAATTCCTGCTTCCTCTCACCACAACACTGTTTTGTAGATTTAGATACTGTAGATGTTATGGTTCCACTGGGGGAGTGTTCCCATATGAATCCTACTGAATTTCAAGAATGGTGATTTAAGTTCTTTGTGCCAACTGATGACAGTCGAGAAGAGGAAGGGGCCATCTTGGTGTGTGTGACTGACCTGACCACCAAGAGGAAGTAGGGCTACTGCTACACAGTGGGGACAGGGAGGACTGTGCTTGAAATTCACGTGCTCTACTTAGGCTTCTCTCAATAGCTAGTTTGGATTTTAAGTGTATAAATTCACCCTAGGCTCAGATCTTTGTATCTGAAGGCCTGGATGAGCTCTCCAACTAAGCCATCAAGATAGGGCGGGTGAGGGACAGAAGTAACAGTGAGGAGCGTGACGAGTAATCTTGATAGGAGCCACAGTGGCAGCAGCTTACACTGCCTTCTGCTGACCTTCCTTTCATCAGTTTCTCCCAGAGAAAGAGCCCGCCAGTTCCAGAAGGAGCTGAAGTCACAGGAAGCAAACTGATCTGAGTGGCACAGGGGTGAGCTGGTATGGGTGCTGCACTTGTTCTCAGAGGGCCCCTCCTTCAGTACTAGGGGACTTCTTCCTCCAGCTCTGGGAAGGCTGGCTGACATCTGCAGGCCCTTAGATGAAGAGAGCCACCTTACCCAAGGTCCTGTTCCCTTCTCTGGACAGCTCACAGGCAATGCCTCATCTCTGTGGGGGGATAAAGTCTCACATCACAGGCTCCACCGGCAACAATGCTAAAGGAAGACTTCAGTCTGAACACTCAGTGGGACCAGCTGAAACCTTTATTACACTGCAGCTCAATTTATTCGTGGCCAATTCTGCTTCCTTCTAGTTCTGCACAGGTGTTGATCCTTGGACCACTCCCTAATAAACATCCTCTGTATAATTCTTCAGCTCAAAGTCTGCTTCTTACAGAATCCAACTTAGGAAATCACCTTCACACATTTTATTCTTAGTGCCAATTACCAAAATATACCATGGGCTTTCTGTTAATAAATCTGTTATTATTTCACAGGAACTCAGGGAACTTTTATGCCCAGTAGATTATTATTGTCCTGACATCTAATTCTGGCTTATGTAAATGTTACAATATGGCAGAGAAAATAAGGCATGTTTTAGAAAATATACGTGTTGTCTGTGTTCTCTAGTTAAGTGCTAGGCTTTATACACTTAAAGGGGAGCTAGGTGATCTAAACTGAAGATATTTTATGATCATACTGTAGCAAAAAATGTCCACACTGACAGTATGCTTCAGTTGCCCAGGTGATAGTTCCTGTTCCAGATCCAGTTGCTTCTGTCTCTTAGAAACGTCTGGTCACTGTGATGCATAGCTGGTCACTATGATGCATATTGTAAGAACCAATCCCTGACTGACAAGCCATTCTGCCTCTGTACTTCCTGCTTGCTTAACCCATTTAAACCCTAGACCACCAGAGATCAGGGCCTGATGTTTTGGGAACAATCCCAATCAGTGCCCATTGATGTAAATAAATCTGCCTCCAAGTCCTGGGTGTTGTTTCAGTGATTTTGTTTGCCATTGCAACACCTTTGGATAAGACATCAGTCTTGCCTGGCACAAAGGAAGAGAGAAGGATGGAAATAAGTATTACTGGGCACACTGGGGAAATAAATACTATAGGTTCTTCCTAATTCTAGCTCTTTTACCTTCTGGATTCTGTCAACCTATTTACCTTAAAACTGTAATTATAAGGGTCCTTTTGGGGTTATGGAGGGTTAGGGGCTTCTTCGAATTTGTACTCTTGAGGAACTCTAGTTGTTAGTCATTTTTCCTACCTGATATACAGTCAACAAAAGCTAAGTCAGTTAAGACTCATAGTTTAGAGAAGGAACACAAACAACTGTGGTGCATTTTATTTTATGCTTTTCAAATTATAACAAAATGCTAAAGCAGCAAAGAGAAGGAGATGATTGATTGGGCAGAAGCTTTTGGTCTGCATTCTCACAGCATGTTGTCTATGTTACCGTTTGAGTCACTGTTTAAAATTTTAATAGAATTGATCTTACAGAACTCTAGTTGTCTTCTTAAGTTTATGCTGAACTAAGGTTACTCAGCCGCGGCATTTTCGGCAGGATATTTCTTCGTGGTAGGGGCCTCTTGTGTTTATTGTGGGATGTTTAACAGCATTCCTGACCTGTAGCCATGAGGTGCCCAGCAGCACCTTCCCAGACCTGACGATCAAGATGACCGCAGACATTGCCAAGTGCACACCGAGGAGAAAACTCTCCCCGCTTGAGAACCACTGCACCAAACTGATGACTATTTCTGGACTGAAATAACTTTACCAGTTGTCTTAGTTACTTTTCTCTCATTGCTGCAGGCTAGACTTGAACTCACTATGTAGCCTAGGCTGGCCTTGAACTCTTGGTGATCCTCCTGCCTCCTGAGTGCTGGGGTTACAGGCATGCACCACCACACCCAGCTCACTGCTTTTGATGGTAAAACATAGATCACCTGGGTGGTCCTATGAAGGAAGTCTCCTGTGAAACTGTCCTCAGGGTGTCAGCTGGGGCTACAGTTATTTGAAGACTTGACTCAGAGGGAGGCTGTTTCCAAGATGGTGCACTCACACAGCCATATGCTGGTACTGTGATTCAAGCAGGTCTCATTTCCTAGGTGGTCTCCATGGGATTATAGGACACTGCTGCTGACTTTTTTAGAACTGGGTGACTCAAGGGAAAGCAAGTCACAAGCAGCCTTATAAATGACATGTCAGCCCTTCTCCCTTACTCTTTTGTCCACATAGACCAACCTTGACAGAATTTGAGAAGAGATTATATAGGGGTATGGACCCCAGAAGGTGAGGGAGGGTCATGATGGGCCATTTCAGAGCCTGGCTACCATAACGCAGTACAGTAATAAAAACCCATAAGAAGAGTCGGAACATGAAATTTGAGAAATCAGGTAGAAGGGAAAACAAAAAAGACAGATAGAAAATAAACAACAAAAATAAGGAAATGATAATTCACAAAGCCTAATATATGTGTTTAACAGATCCATGAAGATAGAAGAGAAAAGAGATGGGAAGAAATTATCAAAGAAATTTAGAAAGGTTGCAAGATACAAAGTCAATATAGAAAAGCCTCTCTCACACACATATGCATGCACAAAGCAATGAATGATTGAAAAATTCAATTTACAATAGTGTCAAAAATACAAATGCTTAGCAATAAATTAACACAAAATGTGTAAGACACTGAAAACTACAAAACATTGCTGAGAGAAATTAAAGATATAAATAGAGACGTATATGATTATGGATTGGAAAGCCCAACAAGGTTAAGGTGTCAATTTTCTCCCAATTGAACTATAGGTTAAACTCAATTCCCACCAAAATCTGTTTTTGTTTTTGTTATAGATTTTATTTGTAAGAGGGGACTGACAACTCAAAAATGCCTATTGAAATATAAAGACTTTAGAATAACCGCATCATTCTTGAAGAAAAACAAGTTGGGCTAATTACACTATTACTACAAGGCTCACTATAGTTTTAGTAATCAAAGTAATGTGGTATTATGTTAAGATAGACAAATAGATGAATAGAATAGAATAGAAAGGCTAAACATAGGCCCACAACATCACAGCTAACAGATTTTTGACAAAGGCACCAGAGCCACTAAATGGGGAGAGGACAGCACTGCAGTTGTGTAGTTCACAGATGTTGCTGGAACTTGCAGGCCCTCCAGTAGGCCCTCAAAACTTACCTTAATTTACAACATTTAATTTGAGATGGATCACTTTTTTTTTTTTGAGACAGGGTCTTGCTATGCAGCCCAGGATGACCTTGAATTAAACTATGTTGCCCAGGCTGGCCTTGAATTTGTTGTAATCTTCCTGCCTCAGCCTTCTTGAGTGCTGGGACTACAGTCATTCCCTACCATGCCAGGCTCCTTTTTGTACAATTTTTCTTTCCTTTTCCATTGTTTGCCTTTTCATTCTGTTGATCGTGTCCTTTCATACATAAAAGATTTAAAGTTTTATGTGGCCCCATTTGTCTGTTTGCCTTTACTGCCTGTACTTTTTTTTGAGACATGCTGTCACTATGCAGTTCAGGCTGGCCTTCAATTTGCTCCTGTAGCCCAGCCTAGCCTTGCACTCATAGGGCTCCTCCCACCTCATCCTTTGGAGCACTGGGATTAGAGGCATGTGCCAGCATGCCCAGCTTATTGTTGCCTGTACTTTTGGTGTAACACTCAAGAAATCATTGTAAATTCAATATCACGAGGCTTTCCCTCCATGTTTCCTTCCAGGAGGAGTTTTTAAAAAATTAAATTTATTGGTACATTTTAAGTATACATAATGATCACATTCATCATAGGGAATTTGCACCTGTACATGATATAACTTGATTCTTTTTCCCCCACCCCCCCACTCACCCTTCAACTCCTCTGCCCCTAGGAGGAGTTTGTTAAGATTAAAATTAAAATTTTATTTTTTGTGGTGCTGAGGATGTACCTCTTGCTTTTTTCTAGGCGTTTTATAGTTTCAGGTCCTATGCTTATGTCTTTAATCTATTTTGAGCTGATTTTTTGTATACAGTGTAAAATAAGGGTCCCATTTCATTCTTCTGGATGCGGATACCCAATTTTCTCAACATTTTGTGGAGAGAGTTCTGCCCTCATTAAGTGCTTCTGGCATCCTTGTTGAAATCATTTCATGCTGTAAAAGCCCCACCACAGACATCAAAGGTTCTAGTTAATTTCCAGTTCCCACCCCTGCCGTGGAGTTAGAACCTCGTATTTACCACTTCTGGAATGTATGGTTGTAAACTGGTTGTAAACGCCCTTCTCTTCCTGGACTCCCAAAATGTATTGTTCTTCCCATAAATGCTCTACCCCTCTAGGACTCTCGGAATGTACTGTTCCTGCAATAAAAAATCCCCTCATTGTTACAGATGTGACATGTGTTTGCCAAACAGGATGTGGTTTTAGGGTTTAAAAACCGCTCTCGTCCCTGGATTGGGACTGGTCTGATCCTTCCCTGGCTGGAGGCTGTCAGTCAGTCCCTGGCCAGAAATAAAGGCTTGTCCTAAATTCCAATTGGTTGTCTGTGCGTCTTGGTGTTTGTCGGTCGGTCGGTACCATTTGGTTCGTTTCTGGTTGTGAGTCCAAAACAGATGCAAGGGCTTTAAAAAAAAGACTCAAATGCATAGCTTTAAATTCACAGCAAAATTAAATTATATACTCCCTCTTTATCCACATGCAAATTTTTTTAAAAAAAGTTTCATGTAGAGATCTAGATTACTTTTTTTTTGTCTTGCTATATAGTTCAGGTTGGCCTAGACCCACTATGTAGCCCAGGATGGCCTCAAACTCTCTGTCTCAGCTTCCCAAGGGCTGGGATTACAGTCATGAGCCACCATGCCTTGCAAGATTTAGAGTACTTTTAATCTGATTTTTGCAAACATAAGCCCTTAAAGCTACAAATTTTTCCTGTAAGCAATACCTTAGCTGTGTTCAACAAAGATTGATGTGTTGTGATAACACACATAATATCATCTTTCCATTCAAACTATTTTTAAAATGCCATTGATGTCGGGCATAGTGGCGCACATCTGTAATGCCAGCACTCGGGAGACTGAGGCAGGAGGAGCATTGCGAGTTCGAGGCCAGCCTGAACTATATAGCCTAACTGTCTCAAGATAACCAAAAAAAAAAAAAAGTCACTGATGTCTTCTTTGCCTGGAGGTTTAGAATTATGCTGGTTTTAAGTATTTCTGGAACTTTCTTTGGTCGTTAAATTGTAGTTAAATTCCTTTTATATCTGATACTTGCTTTGTGGCCTTGCTTCCCAAACCCAATTTTGTTACCATGGGGATAATTATAGTGCATTTTTCTTTCTTCTTAGGTTATGAATACAATGTGCTGTGGTGACTTAGTTTTTGACATCCTAAACAATATGTCATTCATCTGGAGATCCTCGAGGCTTACATACAATTATCAGGGCACAGTTAAAGCGCTAGAAGACTTCAGTGGTCTCGAGGGACTTTTCAGAAACCTGTTTCCTCTCCCGGTAGAAAAGGGAGGGAACAGGGAATTTCTGAGTCCTCCGAGGTGGGTCGTTCACAAGCTCTCCCCGGGTTTCAGGAAGCAAGAGGTGCTGTTGTACTCTTTTCCACCCCCTATTGGGTCTTCTCTTCAAAGGCTGTGAAGCTAACAAGTTCTCAAAACCCAGCAGCCTCAGAGTGAGGGGATCCGGGCTGAGCTCAGCAAAGGTGGAAGAATGTCCGAAGTCCGGCTTAACAACACATCTCTCGCGAGGCCTAAGGAAGCGGCGCCTCGGCTAACGGCCCCCATTCGCCTCGGGAACATTGCCACCCAGACAGCGCTTCCGCACACACCCTTCCTTCAGTCCTTCCCGGCCACTCTCCTCCACCCGGTGCAGGAACTGGGTGTGTCAGAGGACTCGCTAGTGCACTGCCGGCCACGTGACGCGGGGCGGGGCGGGGAGGCGGAGCCAGGGAACTGCCTTCCCCCAGGTCCCTCCCGCCCAACGTCATGGGGTGACCCCGCCCCATCCGCCGAGGGGAGGAGCACGAGACCCCGCCCCCAAACGGCCTTTCCTGGAGGGACCGGCCGGCCAGTCGGCTGGAGGGCGGGGCGAGAGGTCGGCAGAGGACTGGTGCAGGGGGAGGGGAGAGAGGAAGGTGTGGTCACGTGCGTCGAGCGCCCAGGTCACGTGACGGGGCGCCTGGGTGGAGGGAGCCGGGTCGGGAGTTTTCCTAAGGGAAGCGTGAAGTGGGGGGGGGGACGCGGAGGCGGCGGCGGCGCTGACAATGGTGAGTGGCGGCGGCCCGCGCGCCCGTCTTCCGCCTCGCCCCGGAGCGCGTGGCCAGATGGCCAACGGCGGGTGCGGCCCG